CCGTATTATAATTTACTCGGTAGTGTAGTAAAGCTGAATCAGTGCTCGAAATCACTGGAGTTTTCGCAGAATTTTGAGAGCATGCAGAACGATGCCCTCGATGGTGCAGTACGCATGAGTACATCTACCATCTCACAAGATCAGTGGGCTTCAACTTTTACTCGCACCTCAAGCTTCTTCCAGTTTTATTTCGCATTTTATCTGCCGTTAGGAAGTCTACGTAAGCAATGAGAAATAAAAATTGCTGTTCCAACCGCGACTTCGCCTTGATTTCAAGTCGAAAGTGCCTTGTTAGAAATTGACATTGATGGTTATGTATCGTTCGCTAGCATCAGCCATTATCCACTTGGCCGTCGAGTGATTAATGTGTGCGCTAGTCAATCGCACGTACTACGAGTATTACATACTGTTTTCGACATTTTGACGTCTGCAGCAGAAAACTCGGATTTCTTAAATTATCATGTCTGACTTTCTTTTGCTTTCGTTAACTTTGTTAAAGCCTTCAGTGGAAATTTTATGAATGGCAAAAATTGAGAAGACTGAGCTGTAGATTTTAGTGTCATGCTGGTTTCCAGTTTTGTCTAACATTAATGTTTAATTGATCTTCCAATGAATCGAGTTTTGTTACCTAATAGGTAACATGTGAAGACCCGAACCTCGCGTCGATGAGCATATTTGATTCTCCATCAACGAGAAAGCGATTTCGGAAGAAAAGGATCGGCGTCGAGGCACATTTTCTTCTGTTATTTGATATGCCAGCAGGACGACGTGCTACCAAAGAGACTGGCATAGCAATCGCAGATGACTTTTTGCATAATGTTTGTGGAAGATCCGATTGTTTCGTTTGGACATTGCAGTGCGATTAGCTCTGTTTTGTAACTGGCGTATATGCTAGTGCCGCTAAAAGTTGAGTGATTAAACCTTAATATCAATAATTATAACAATAATAACAAGAGGTAATAGTGTAGTGTACAGACAATGATTGCATACAAAACCATGATTAATGTGAAAGAATGGTAATGTCATGCCAATCAACGAGTTTGTGCGAATTACACAGCTGATAGTAATGTTGTCGTACGAATTCACACTTCAACGTTCAACTTTAGTGCATAAATGAAAAGCTTAGGAAAATGAATAGGCAGCTCGTATATGAGGAAATTAATAACTTCAAGAACGGCAAATTAATAGATGAATACTAATTTATAAAATGAATACGAAGAAGTGAACTATGGACTTAAGAACGATAAGCATATAACTGTAAATTACTAGAGCACTAGGAGAGCCAGAGATTTTACATGGACGAAGACATCAGATATAAATTAAATGTGTGTTAAATGGAAATAAGGATACAAACGTGATACTCTGTGAACCAAACTGGGCGGCTTGTTGGTTCGATCATATGTTATTTGCATCTAGCGTTTCCATAGGTACAGTTCCGATTGCTTGGTTTGTATGTAGATCGACGTTATATGCGATAGACATGTATTTGATATTAAATAATCGAAGTTAAATAGTTGCCTAATAAGACGAATGGGGGCTATTTGGTAGAAAAGTCTCCATAGCAGTGCGCAGCGAGTACATTTAAAACTTTCCTGGCATTAACAGTGATTGCTGCTTTCACATTTTGCATACCTTTTATCGATTTTGCCTAGCATTTTGGAAGTTTGGATGTGAGCTGATAGTTGCTTGCTGCTCGAACGATTCCACATTGGCCTATCATCTCGAGTATATATTTGTGACGACAATTATTTCTTAATAACATCCAAACTCTCAGTATTCAACGTGGTGAGACGGTGTAAGATAAGTCAGTCGTTTTTATCGCTCATATTGTTATTAACGGTATTCTCTCGTAAGCCAACTTATGAGTAGAATAAATCCCAGTTTATTGTAGTTTTGGAATCGCGTTTTCCATACTTGGTCGGGTGCTTTCCTCTATTCGCACCCATTTTCACTCCTTGAGATAATGAATTTTATGCCTTTTTCAAAGTTCCAATAGTCGTTCGACAGCTCAAATCTTAAGAATTTTAACGGTACACTTGGTTTTAGAAGGAAAGCTTTTTTTCTCCGCTCTAGCACTTGAAATCAAGTTGTGTTGCGTAGTTTCGGTGAAGACAGCTTGATGATTTCAATGGGATGCTTAGTTTCTGAAAAGGACCTCTCAGTTCGGCTCAACGAGAAGAAGATTGAGTTTCGCACTCGGCGAGCATTCCTTGTCGCCTAGGGTGTGTAATGAATGCTCCGGAAGCGCGATGGCTTAGTGCCAATATTGTGAAATGCAAATTATTTTCAGTGTTGCAGCACAACAAAAAACTTTTTCAAAGAGTCAAGTACACCACTGTAATTTTCGAGATTAAAGTTTTTCCAAGATTACAAAATGTCTAAAAGAAAAGCTTTGTCTAACAAAAAGGTGCCCGACTGTGAAATATAATTTATAAAATAGTAGGCGGGCCATTTTTTTGATCTATACCGCTCAAGTCGTCGAGACTTATGCTATCGAATGACTACTAAGGCTTTAAAAAGAGTCAAAAAGGCTTTTCACCAAAATCTTGAAAATTTATGCCGATAGGGAAGAAGTAACTTCAGCTGCCCGCTTTCAACTTTTAATTCCCCTCCCTGAGTAAAGAGTTCGTAGTCTCATGGCTAACCGGATAGACATCATCCGCTAAGGAAAAGCTTTGTCACTATGGAAGATGTGTGGATTGTCTCATTGATATTATGAGGAATCGACTTTTATTCAACCTCAGCTCCAACAACTATATTTTGTTTGCGGATTGGGCCAGTAGCACGAGATTTATGAAAATGATATCATTTATACAAAAATTCGAAGTATTCTCCTTTATAAAATTCAAAATTAGCTATGAAAAAGACGCAGGCATTAATGGCTTAGTTCAAGAAAGTTTCCCTAGAAAGCCTTATAGTCCTTGCATGACCAACAAAGAGAATATTCCTCATAATCATTTTTTTAGCCACGCATGTGGTGTGTCGTATGGTAACTTGTAAAGCCCTACATGAGTGGCTCAAAAAATTATTATCAGGTGTATTGAAATTTGAGCGTAGTGTAAAGAAAACACTCGATACGAAAGGCATGATATATTGATAGGAATACTATTCTATCCCATTAGTTAATAAATGTGTCTACCTCACGAGTGTTAGCTTCGCATTACTTCAATACTAACCTTAAAGAAAACTCCGCCTTGTAAATCATCACAATATGTCAATCACTTGAATTACCCACATATTCTAAAACGCAACAATATTTGAGGTTTAACATAGCGTAACAAATTCAGGCTTTCCTCATGATACTAAGGAAGTTTTTCGCCAGTCCGACAGAATTATAGGATTCGAAGGGAATCAATTGAGATTCGATGTTAGTCTGTTGTTTGCATTCATTTTTTTCTGTAAATTTCGGCTTTTTCTCTCCTATCTACAATACTATGAAAAAAACCAGGAGAACAGAAAGCACACCTTGATGGAAAATAATATCAACAATGGAAGAAGTGATGGCTGCTAGAGTGATTACCAGTGCTGTCCATTGGGATGCCATGATGACCATGAGGCCATTATTCGACCCTCCTCACAATCTTTCATACCAGATGGTAACGCCTTAGCTCTGCTCTTCAAAACTGTAGGAAGATTCGAATCAGCCAATAAAAGAGGATTCGTAAATATAACGAGCTCTCAAGTGGGAGTAGAAAGAACGCTTGAATGTTCGCAAACCTTTTGGACGTTTGAATACATGGAAACAGAATGAATACGAAAGCGATGGAGATCGCACAGTAGATGTGAAGACGCGTCATTTGGATAGTAATGTTAGCGGCCTTGTTATTAATAAAGCAACGACAACAATAATATTATTGATAATAATATTCAGCTTTTAGACGAAAGAGGAGGGCATCAGTTATTTCCAGCAGTATCGAGCGGCATGGTCATAACTGTTATGAAGGAATACTCCGAGATGGCGTGGAATATCCCCGTCATTTTTTGCAGTGCAGGTCTACAAAACTCAATATTGCACAACTAAGCTATTTTTTAGTGACCAGTTTTTTGACGCAACCATCACTGAGCTTTATGAGTATAAACTTAAGATTTTAGAATAGATTTGCAATAAAGATTATACTCAGAAAAATATGTGCACAACCATGTTACAGAATCCGCGTGTAGCTTCGTATTGGGATGTGCATTACAACACACTTGTGATCGAATTCACAATTTTGACTTTTATTTGCTGCTTGACAAATTTTTTCAAACGGCTGGACACTTTTGAATTATAGCCGCAAGATTGCTGAGATACGAGAATATCACTGAAGAAATCAGAGAGGCCATTTATGGATTAGAAGTCACCTCATCTGAGTTCTATTCGTTTCTTAGCATTTGTGTAGCTATGTTCCATTTTCGTGGAGGCCGATTCGATTCCGTGTTCTGACCCCACCAGGTGTCCCATCATTTTGGAGTCAACAAATTAGTACCAATTAAATGAAAGATTACTTGAAAGGACATCAGCACTGATTTGATACTCGATACACTATCGTAAATGCCAGGCGAATTAAAATGCTGCAGGATTTTAGAAAAGATTCAATCACAAACTCGATCACCTATAAAGTTGCTTGATGAAGTCTTTTGCATAAGCCTCATCATACTGACTGAGTGAGCCAAAATTTTGGAGCTCATTTTATGTTCCCAAAAGATTTGAGTGGTGAGCAAAAACATTGCCTCAGGCGGGAATCGAACCCACTTTTCATCCTGTCCGCGGACGTGTTCTTATCACTTCACCACCGAGGCACATTTGCGCCACCACTCATTTTTCAACATCTCTATGTTAGCTATTTGCTACCAACCTTTAACAGGTTTGGTCGGGTATGCGATCTCGCTTTATAAACCCAGTTGAGCTGATAGTCATTGTGATAACTAATATACAAAATTTCTAGTATTTTTACTGCATTTTTCGCAGTGTTATGATCATTCATATATTCCTAAGAGAACTGAGTGGTGAGCAAGAACACGGCCTCAGACGGGAATCAAACCTGCGTTTTATCCTATTCGGGGACGCGTGCTCTTACCACTACACCACCGAAGCACATTTGCACTGAACATTTGCTTATTTTATCTATTCCTTACTGTATACATCATCTCTGGTTACATGTGCAAGGTTTTCTAAGCGATTTCCCTGCATAAACAGTGTATTTATAGACAGAACTGTTTCAAAATAGAACTAATACGAGGTTGGCATTTCTGTAACTTCGGCGATTTGGATTGTGACAATTTTGCCTTCCTCAGAGCCTGGACGACGACAGTCCGTGTGATGCCTTTAAACAATCATGACGAAATTCAGTGAAAATCGCCTTTTGACTTGTCAGGAATATTTCACAAAAGTGTCAGCGTTAATTTTAGAGTGTATACAAATGCATTATAATGGCCAAATGTTCGTCTTCTTTTTGTTCACGCGGGTATTTTCTCAAATCCAGAGATCGAACCTCAACTTTAGGTACTTGAACCTTTATAAGCACTAACAACATTATGAAAACAACGAATAATAGGGGCGTAACGATATAGACGATAATGGGTGATGTATGAATAAACGGTAAAAATTTTGTACTGTAATGAACTCGTGTGAAGATGCTGTAAAGAGAAATGAGATGCAGGAATCAGGAATGCGCGAGATACTGTACTAAATGAGTACTGTGTAGGATACCGTTTGAGTAATTTATAAGATATTTCAAAGAAAGTTATGACAACACTGTAAAAAGAAGTGAAGTACGTAATGAGAAATGTGTAACGAGAGATCAATGAGTTGTGCGTAGGATAGTATAGGGTGGATTTGTGTAATGAGGCGTTAGGGACCAAGTACGATAGTGAGACGTGAGCGTGGGATGCGTCTTCAGATCAAGCCATCGAGCGTCATTGAACCATGAGCTATCGAGCGCCTTTGAATACCGTGGGCTATCGAGCATTCTTGGACTAATTCACAACACCGATCACCGATTAACATGGGCATAGTTGGATTACGAGTTCCTTGTGTTAAGCAGTTGTCAGTTAGTCTTTGGAGACCAACCTCTTAGAGTCAGTGTATAAGTGAGGCTCGTGCTTAAACTATGAACCATCTAGCATCCTTGATGATAATGGCGGCCGCTTCAATGATGGCCAACTAGCGCCCCGCTCGCGTGCTCAGGTGCGACCGGTGAGGATCCTTGTTGGAGAAGGCGGCCGCCTCGTAGACGAGCGCTAAGGAGTGAAATGCCTGGTCTTGTTTTCTCGGAATTATATACTTGTTCCGCAGGAAGCGGAACCCTATTTCGTTGACATTTGTCTGCTACTGGCAATGTCCCAAAAGTGTGCCAAGTGAGTAAACAGCGAGATGATCCTACGAGATGAAGGGAGCGCACAGTTCTGAAAATCGGAGTGCAGTTTCACATAGTGTTTACACTACTTGGTTTCAAACGATGTAAAAAACTCACATATCCAATTAAATTATGAAAACATTATTGTTGTCAAGTGCTTAGTTCTTTAAGACTTTCCATTCCTGGAGTGAGGTATGGTCTAGGTTGCACTTTTGAGATTCCACATTTCTCTTACGGAAGGTCATGTTCATGTTCAACTTACTCGCCATGCCTTAAGGTGTTCAAAAACCTGAAATCCCTGGGAAATATTAATATTCCTCGTTGATCAGGGACGAGGTTGTCCATAGTAAAATCCGTACAAGAGTGATTGGCATTTAGGCGGCTTGGCCTTCTTCAGAGGATGGAAAGAGGCAATTGATAGCGAATTACTCAACAAACTTCTGAAAATATTTCAATTTTGCAACCTATTCAGTCAAACGCTTCCGTAACCCAGGCAGATAAACGCATTGATTGCATACTACAAGCAATTCGCATTACTATGCGAATAACGTTTTATAATACGTTGAGGCTCTTAAGAAATGTCAGTCATCGATCTTGAAGAAGAAATTTAAACTTCGGGAAGGTTTTCAAAAAAGGCTAGATCTCAAAATAAGCTCGCTGAGTTCGGTTGTTTTGTACAGTTGGCAGCACCCTTCGGCCATTCACCGTTTACGAGATTTTTTACTGGCAAAGAATCTATGTTTTTGAAACTAAGCGATCATTGAGCATTTTCGTTTTTCTCCCACATTTTCTATGCTCATCGCTTTTGTAAGCAACCTCACCTTTTTTTGTGTGTATAACTCTTGGGTGTGATGAAGAAATACGCAATCATAAACATTTCAGTTCTCCTGATTAGGAGGGAACAAATGAAAAATGGATCTCTCGGTTGAGAAGAAATTTCCATAGGAGTGTTAGTAACTATTCGAAAGCTGAGAGTCGTGGATGCAGCACTACGTCGACGGTTTTTCAAAAACCCTTTTGTAACATTGTATTTTTTTTCTTATATCGCTTAGATTTCTCTGGGCAAAACTCCTTTCTCAGAGTGCTAGTACTCAAACTATAACGCAGGCTTCAAAAAACTCAAAAACGTGCCTGTTTTTTGAAAAGCTATTTTGATCGCTCAGTCTTCTTTGGTCTTTGATTTATGCTTTGAATTTTGCAGGACAGACCTCTTCCTTAAGGCTATTAAGAATCTTTCTTTTCGAGTGTTTTCTCAAGACCACAACTCAAAGTTCAATATGCCAAATAATCATTTCAAGTCACGCATGTCATGTGGTCTGTTGTAAGGGCTGACTTATAGAGCCCGATGCACGTTTTTCAACCTTGACGGTCTCATCAGTCGAGCGATACCCTTCTCGTCTTTTGCCATCATCTCAGTGTGCTAAATCCCCTATACTAAGAGTAGGCAACGACAAACATTTCACACTCTATATCGAGTGGTGCACATGACATGCGTGGCTTGAAAATGATTATTTGGCATATTAAAATTTAAGCTATGGTCTTTAGAAAACACTCGAAAAGAAAGGTATAGTCTACTAATGATACCACCAAAAGCAACTGAGTGTACAAAGCTGTGTGTTCGGTGATACTTTCACCGGACATAGAGAGTAAAATGTTCGTCGTCACCTACTCTTAGTATAGGGACTGAGTGCCCCGAGAGGAATGGCAAAAGATGAGAAGGGTACCGCCCGACTGATGTGACCGTCAAGGTTGACACGTGTATCGGGCTTTATAAGTCAGCCCTTATAACAGACCACATGGCATGCGTGGCTCAAACATTATTGTTTGACATATTAGTAATCATCTGATAGACAAATGTTTTCTGATTTTGGCGATGCGCTTATTTACTGGCAATGCGATTTAGCAAGGGATAATAAGACTGAGTTTCACACTTTCGGTTATCACAAAGTCTGCGAAGTACTTGTGATATCCTTCCATTGCCTATGATATAAGCCATTACAGCGTTTGATGAATAGAAACACGCAATGTGACACACTTGAGGCTTCTTCTGAATACTAAGTACAGTGCTGGCTCATGTCTAAATAGTTGATGCGAATCTTCTCCATCAGAATTAGAATTTACCAACTCAGCACTGAATTTTCTTGTAGACTGACTACTTCCATAGCTTCAATATGATACATATGGAAATCATACGTAACGACAATGTTATTGAATATTATTTGTCGTCGAGTTTCAGAAAACCGTTTGAATACCAACTACGCTTGCTTCCTTTCCCTAAAAATGTTGAAGAAAGCAAACAGAATGCTTGGAGAAGGTTTTGATCAATCCTTATCTTCATTCATTTTATTCAACTTCCATAGCATTATAGAGGTGACCGATTGCATATACGATGATCTATGCAAGGACTTGATGTGCCCTACAAATACACCAAGTCACTTTTTCTATTTTCCAAGGGAAACCCGAAAGTATCGAATTCGAAGGGATAGAGTCGGCTCCTTGGATTCGTGTATCTAACCACTTGACGGACCACGTGTATATTGCACTGCACCTCTAATCACTCTACAACACGTGCCCCTGAGATGACAAGTGCATTCTGAACTAAATTTTGATTAGTCACTGACGACCTCCTTATGTGGAGAACATAGTGGTGAACGAGTTAGAGAATACCACGCAGAGTTTTAGGTTGAGAACACGGGTCGCCAGAACACAAAGATTGCCACCATAATCCGTTGCAATCCAAGCAACCTATAATGGGCCTCCATACTCGCTCTACATAGCGCTGTCACATCGAGCACATTTTCAATGTTACAAACTGAAGCTAAAAATGGCTTCCACTTTCAAACAACTAAAAAGCTTGTGGAAAGTGGTTAGAGCATAAAGTGGTGTAAGAAACCACGTACCAAATAATGCTAGAAACTACTCGCCCTCACCCTTCACACTGAGATAAGCATTTGCCGAAGTATTAGCGAATGGCTAGAAAGTTGTGAATAAGAAAAGAGCAAAGAAAGAAGTTCGCAAAATTCATAGGAAAATCGACCATTTTGAATAGCAACCGAAACATCAACGAGTAGGGTTGATACGAAAGGTAGGGATATGTTCAAAAAAAAGGTAGGATATGTTTAGCAATATTTCGAACCCACATAAGATCTTCAAAGCTCCCCTCTATATCAAACGAAGTTTGCACTATCAGGAGATGCCTAAAAGAAAGTGATGTTGGAAGTTCTTTAGCATTCACTGAACTCCAATCTAACACAGCGCTCCGTCAGCTAGTCTACAACACCTTTTAAGATCGTTTGTGCAATTCAGCCAATGGTAACATCAGTGTAGGGGTACTGGAGAGTTGGCTCCTAAATGTAAACAATCTTCTCCACGCATGAATGAGAATTCACTCCAAGGGTTTCCAGGTGATATACGCGGAGAATTTCTATGATTGTTCTTATGTGTTGTCATTGATTAGGTTTGTTTTGAGTAAGATAACATCTAGTGCGATCTGCGTTTACATGAAAGAGTGATAAAAAAATCAAATCATAAATTTTTTGTAAATTGAGCAAATAAGCAAGGAGCATTGAGTATTCATGAAAAGCGTTTTATTTATATACTGCAAGAGATTAAGAAAGAGGTAGCTACTTTTCAAAAAAACCATACAGATACAATTTTATATACACTATAAATAGTGTAGGAGAATGATCTGGATGAATCATCGATTTAAGCCTCTGATTCAATGAAAACTAAAACGGTT